AGTCTTTGTGACTGTAGTTGGATTTACACTTGCACGTGAGAAATGAGGTCTTTAACAGAGACAGGTTTGTTTATTTTATTTCTGAGAGAGAGCCAGAGAAGCATATTTGACAGGATCTGTCCTTGTCCTGATCCTGCCTGCCTGTCTCCCAGTCAGCGAGGTCACCAGGATGTGTAACATACACCACTGCCATTCTTGGTTGGACTAGGAACCGAACCCAGGCCTTCCAGGTGGTCCCAGATGTCATAGAGCGGTACCCTCCCACTTGTGCCACGGTGGCTGGGCCAAAATTTATTTTTATTTTGAATTGCCAGAAGGCGTGTGTACTTGCCAGAGAGAGAGGAGAGGGGGAAAGCACTCCCCAATGGGGTGTAGACACGCCTCAATCCCTTCTCCCCCATTTCTCCTCCTGCTGGGATCTGGGGCATGCACACACGCTCAGCATGTGTTTTAAGCTACCAGGGTCAGGATTTGAACTGTAGTCAGCTATGTGGAATCTGGCTTCCTTCACTAGGTTACAAGGCCAACCTCCCCAAACTATTTTTGCAGACCCTGAAGAGCACTGTCGCCGTGGGGCAGCTATAATTTAGGGAGCCGGGTCGCCGCATGCTGCTAACCGCAGGCAGTTCCGCCGTAGGCATCTGCAGATACAGCTCACTGGGAAATAACAGGCCTCTGCGACAAAGCAGAAATCTGACCTCAGAAAACATGCTGGCTGGTCCGCAGGAGTGCAGCATAGCACAGCTCTCTGCAAGCTGAAAGCCATACGGAAGACTGGGGTTCAGTTCCCAGGTCAGCCTGTACACACCGGGTGCCTGCCGGTGTGACCGTCATCCTCGCTGGCTGAAGGCTTGGGGGTTGCAGTGTAAGACCTGTTGGGGTGCTCATCTGTCTCTCTCTGGCTGACTGGCACAGGGGTGGAGGCCACAGAATCAAATCCCTCTGGCAGCCGTGGGGCCCCACGGCGGCACTGTGATCCGGCCAGAGGAGGGAATGCGTCTCTGGCGCAGCCCCGCCCTGCTGTGGCCAGCCCCGTTGGCCTCCCACGCCTCAGGCCATGGCTGTAATTTGCGGTGCCAGCACCTGCCTGCTCTATTTCTGCTGCACCCCGAGGAAGCAGGGAAGCCTGGGATGTAGGTCCCACACCCCTCTGACTAACACTGACAACTGAAAGACGCAAACGGCGAAATCTTTTCCTCCTTTTTTCTTTTAAACTGAAGAGAGAGACATTTCCCTAAAGCAGCCCACATTTCCCTAGAGCAGCTTAGGGGCCCACCTGCTATCGTCCATTAAACGCTGCTTTCTGAGCACATCACACTCGGGACACCATCTGACCCCACCTGCACACGTGTACACACACACACGTGCACATTCATATACGTGTGTCAGACGGAGGAGTTTGGTACCATGAAACCATGGGACAGTGGCTCGGCCTTACTGGCAAAGTCCTCGTGACCCGTGGGGCCTGCTTTGGACCCCAGAGCTGGGCTTGTACGGCTCTCCGGAAGTGCTGGAAGTGTGAGATTTCACCCCATCTTTCCACTTCTGTCCTTTCTGATTCGTTTGTTTGTTTTGTTAAAGTCACTGAACTTCTCTGCCTGGGGTTTCCAATCAACTTCAGAACGATCTAAGGCAGGCGGGTTTTAGAGTCAGAATTTATGCCTCTTAGAACTCCTGAAGTTGTGTGCGACACTGTGTGTGTAAGTATTTATGGATCTATTTTTTTTAAGGTCTCCCCTAAATTTTCAACTCCAGAAATGGAGAGCACGTGGCTGGCGGTGGGCACACGCCTCTCTGTGGAGTGGCAGACAGAGGGCCGGCCTGCCCACAGCCTCCCTCTCCTGAGCTGACTGTTCCCTGCACCTTCTGGAGGGCGCCTCCCTGTTATTTTCTCCACAATCACAGGCTTCTGCTGGCTGGGGCCACCATCTCGGCTGGCCAGAGCTGTGGGCTCAGAGCCCACACCCGGTGGTGCACTGGGAAGGGCAGGGCTAGGAAGCCTGGTCCAGCTCCCACCTCCTGCCTGTTTGGGGTGGGACAGGGTGGGGGATGTGCCCTCCTTGATCCCGTTTCTGGAGTTAGGAGTGGGGACCTTCTTCAACTTGCCCACTGCATCTCAGGGCCCTGACAGCCTCTGAGTGAGGGCAGAGACACACCTATTCCGAGTATAACTGCCCTGAGGGATGCCCGTGGGGTTGTGGTTTCTGAGTGCCTAGATTTCTCGATCTCCTTGTCACTTTTTCTAAGAGGCTTCTGGGACCAGCAGTTAGCGTAATGACTATGTCACAATCCCTTCTCTTTCATTCTCCTCTCGGGATCCTGGGCACACACACACACACACACACACACACACACGCCCAGTATGAGTTTAAGCCACTGGGTCCAGGAGTTGAACCACAGTCGACTACATGGAAGTCCAGTGACATAGTCATTACGCCAACTGCTGGCCTGAGCCTTGTCTGCTTTTAAACTCCATGAGGCCCAAGAGCCAGAACGGGCAGGAGAACTGTGCACGTGGTGGAACAAGCCAGGGCTTCGTCTGGAGGAGACAGACTAGGGGTAGAGCCCCAGACTCTAGCAGGCTGCCCAGCACAGGCTGGACGGGAGGGCAGGACAAGAGTGTTCGCTGAGCACATCACCACTGCTGGCCTGGGTGACCGAGTGCACGCTGCCCTCCTGGCGGCAGGCCTACTGGTGTGAGATTTCACAGAACCCCCCCCTTCTCCAGCAGAAATCCCAGTCCAAGCAGGTAGGAACTAGCACCAAACCATTTCACCTACAGCAAGGGCAGCCGGGTCCGATTCCACGGCGCTTCGAAAAGCAGGAAGCCAAGACCGGCACTCACTGCCAGGCCGGGCGAGTGTGGACTGAGGTCTAAGAATGGGGAATCCGCCTCCGTGGTGTCAGGCCAGCATCCCTCAGAACACGCGGGGTGACAATGGTACCATGATAGATAGCGCTTCCTTTTTCCTGCTGGCTCTGGAATCTTCCTAGGCCTGTTAACTCTTCAGGGAGCTTTTTGCACAAAGGACAAGCAGCCGTCAACGTCAACTCCTCCTTAAGCCCAGGATTCTTTGAGAAACTCTCTCTGCAGCTGACTGAGCAGGGGGTCAGACTGCAGAAAAGCCACGTAGGTTCCGGGTCGCTGTTGTCAAACTCAGGTCACAGGGCTTTGAAAACGTCTGCATTTACCCTTTCAGAGTGGGGATTAGCATGTCTGTCAGGCTGTGACAATGCGTCACTGCTCTGAAGGGCTAGGAGTTTGGTTCAGTATGTTCGGAGCAGCGAGAAGTGTGCATTTTGATTAAAAAATATCTTTCCCGAAAAAGGCAATCACTCATTGAACAGATCCTTAATACTGCTGACAAAAGGGTGTCAAATGAGGCAGAAGGGACCTACTTACCAGAAATTTCACCAGCGAGGCCATCGCGGGGGACAGTGACAGCAGAAATGGTAGCGGCCATAACTAGTCATGCCCCTGCTCAAGAATCTGCTGAAGCTCCCTAGGCGCCCCGTCCCATCCCTCAGCTAGGTGAGTTTCTGGGGCCACAGAGGGCCCCCAGATTGTCAGGGGACTCAGGTCCAGGTCACTGTCACTGTGGGGACTAAGGACATTTACTTTGGGGAAGAGAAGCCCTGGCGGAGGACTTAAGAGCTGGGGACAGGGACCCGGCCTTTGGACTTCACCAGGTGGCCCAGAGCCTCCAGCACTCAGACTGCTCTCACCAGGCCAGTTCTGGCGTCAACAGACCCCTCAGACCACAGGTTCCCGTGCCCCTGCCGCGCTCAGGCCAGGCCGTTTGTCGTCAAGGAATTCTGGGAGAAGACGAGAAGCCCTGGCGGAGGACTTAAGAGCTGGGGACAGGGACCCGGCCTTTGGACTTCACCAGGTGGCCCAGAGCCTCCAGCACTCAGACTGCTCTCACCAGGCCAGTTCTGGCGTCAACAGACCCCTCAGACCACAGGTTCCCGTGCCCCTGCCGCGCTCAGGCCAGGCCGTTTGTCGTCAAGGAATTCTGGGAGAAGACGAGGCCAGCGAAGCGTCAACAGACCCCTCAGACCACAGGTTCCCCGTGCCCCTGCCGCGCTCGGGCCAGGCCGTTTGTCGTCAAGGAATTCTGCGAGAAGACGAGGCCAGCGAAAGCAGCGTGTGCAGCGCAGGTGGAGGTGGGAGGGGTGAAGGCAGCAGCACGGGCCGCCCGGCCCTGCAGCACACACTTCCCTGCTGACTTCTGCAGCCCAGCAGACTGCTCAGCTGCACGCAGAGGCCGGACCCAACCCGGTGCTAGGAGGTCGCGCCCCCTGGCAGGGCTCAGCGCAGGCATGGAGAGCGGCAGGCTGAGCTGTCCCAGCCTTCTGCTCTGGGCAGGCAGTTCCCAGGCATGTCCTACCCAGCTCCTGGGGCCCCGGGAGAACCTAGCCTCAGTTGCCCACACAGGAACCAGTTCCACAGGGCAGCTTTTCTGGCTTCTCTCCCGACACTGTGGGTTTCTGGTTCCCTCACTTCGGGTTGCTGGGATGTCTCTCAGGTTGACCAGTTGCTTTCCTGGTCCGTCTCCCAGCCATCTTGGGGGCCAGCCAGAGCAAGGTGCTTCCCCACCCCACCCGAGCTCCCAGAACCCCCTCTTCATGAGGCTCCCCCCTTGGGCTCCTGCTGCCCCAGGCCAGGAGCCTGCTGCGGAGCGGTGTGACTGCTCAGAGGCACGGCAGTAACTGCAGACACCAGGCAGCATTCCCGGCCAAGCTGTGCTAAGCATATCCTCAAAGCTCATCTGATCACAGTTTGCAGTGGAGATTCTGCTGGGGCCCATTTGCCTGGTGTCAGCGAAGACCCGTCACTATGGACTGTACCAGAGGTCCCAGTCCTCTCCCACAGGAGCCAAGGCACCCCAGGGGCCGCTGGGTTGGCTGGGCCTGGAGCGAGTGGGAAGAACGTGACTCAGGCAGGGGCAGGTGAGAGAAGGGTCCAGGAGGGAGAGGGCCAGGAAGGGGATCAGTACCTGGGCTCCTGGCTTCAGGGATGCCGCGAGGTCTTTGACCATTTTGGCTTCAGAGACTGTGACTCCGCCCACCACGAAGAGGATCAGGAGGGGGTGGTCGCTGGGATGAGGCCTGCTCACCTGCAAGAGGAGACACCAGGGTCAGTGCAGGGGCAGGGGCAGTGCAGCCAGGTGCCAGTCGAGTACTCCACGGGCTCACCGCCAGGCTGTAACAGAGAGAACACGGTTTACTAAGCAGCCCACGTGCCGGGGTGTGGGAGCCCTGGCCGGGACGTGCTCAACACTCTACCGGCTGCATCCTTTCGGGTTTTATTTATTTATTTATTGTTTTTGCCATAGGGATAGGGTGCATGTGCTCTGTCTCTCTTCTCTGACATTTCCTGGTACCCTGTGCATCTGATTCATCCATCCATTTGTCCAGTTTATTTGTGCAACATCTGTTGAAAGTTTATCATGTACTAGGTACGGTGCTCAGAGCCCCAAATAACAAAATAATATCTCTGCCCTTTAGGGAGTCCCAGTCTAGGAGAAAGGACAGGAGAGAGACAAAGGCAGTGAGAGGGCAAGTGAGAAATCCCAAACACCCCTGGGAGAATGGCCAGGCCACACCCCTTCTCCTCCATTAACCTCCTGGGATTTTGAGCACTCGTGCACGTGTGCCTGGAGTGATTTTCCAGGACTCGCACTGCAGTCAGCCACATGGGAGTCTCATGCCTTAACCACCACGCCACCTGCTGGCCCCACTGCATCCCTGTTCCTCCCTCAGCACTCTCAGGTGGCAGCTGCTGCCCGCCTTGTGTCTTCCTTCTGCGGCCGCTCTGTGTGCTCTGTGGTCCCCACCACTGCCTGTATCACTGCATTTGCTCACATGCGTGTCCTCGCTGGCCGTGTCCCCTGCTAGAAGGTGAGTCCCATGAAGGCAGGGCCTCGTCTGGCTGGCTCACTCCTGACCCCAGCTTACCCAGGGCAGCGCCTAACACCGTGGGTGCTCAGTTAGGGTCTGTGCATTAATGAGCCATCAGGGTTCTGGGCAGGAGGTGGAGCAGGCAAGGGGTACAGGGGAGTGAGGCCCCTGAGAGCTCACCACAGAGTACAGACTTAGACCCTCAGCTCTTTCCAAGCAGCCTCAGCCGGGTCGAGCACTACGGAACCTGGGCGAGGCGCTGCTTCACACATGAAATTTCCTGGCTGGCTGACTAAGCCCAAGGCTCCTTCCAGCCCTACAAACAACTGTTGGGTCTCACTTTTTTCTCATACAGAGCCACGACTGGCTGCAGAACTTCAACATGGTACCATGTGTTCCCAGAGACATATGCTTTCCATGAGAAAGTCTAGACTCCAAAGAACACGTGAGACTCTTGGAAGGATGTATTGAAAGATGAAAAAGGAAAAAAAAATAAATGAAATGAACAGCAACAACAAAGAACAATTCCCTGGGGAAGCAGCCTCAGCCGGGTCGAGCACTACGGAACCTGGGCGAGGCGCTGCTTCACACATGAAATTTCCTGGCTGGCTGACTAAGCCCAAGGCTCCTTCCAGCCCTACAAACAACTGTTGGGTCTCACTTTTTTCTCATACAGAGCCACGACTGGCTGCAGAACTTCAACATGGTACCATGTGTTCCCAGAGACATATGCTTTCCATGAGAAAGTCTGGACTCCAAAGAACACGCGAGACTCTTGGAAGGATGTATTGAAAGATGAAAAAGGAAAAAAAAATAAATGAAATGAAATGAACAGCAACAACAAAGAACAATTCCCTGGGGGGGACCAGCAGAGGGAATGTTGGTTTGGGTACAAATAAATGGCTCCAATTAACGCATGTTGGTGCTTGCTATTTTGGTTTCTGTCTAGATGTATGTTTTGATACCAGACTTTCCTTGTGGAGTGTGTCAAGTCGGAGGGCCTTGGGAAGTGGAGTCGTTCCCGTCTTTTCCACCCGAGTAACGCATTCCTCATAGTCAGCCATGCACGGCTGAGGCCTGTTGGTGTGAGTTCATGGCATGAGGCGCTTTGAAGATGAGCGACGTGAGCACGAGGGCTGCCATCACAAATGCGGGCTGGTCAGCGTGTTCGAGGCGCTGCTCATTTTCCCTTTTCTAAACCTTCCCTGGCTGTGGTTTGAAGACATCGGTTCTGCTCAGAGAAGAGTTTCCTTCCACCATCCTTCTGGGGCCCTCCAGCAGGCGTGGGCTCCTGAGAGAGTGCTCTGATTTTGATCAGCTTCTGTCTTGGAGGCTGTCAAGAGAAGGATTTCCACTCTTTCAGGTTTCTGGAAGCTTCCATGGAGTTCTGTGAATCCTGCTGCCAATCCCTCCACCATGGCTTATCCCTCTACTCCGTTTCTCTTCATCTGTGATTCATTTGTTCCTCGGAACGACCAGGGCAGGTTCCCCCCATTCTCTAAGGACAGCATGGCTTTGTGGAAGGGCGAGTGCAACAGAAGCCTTGGCCTGGAAGGACTGGGCCCTGGAAACGGAGCACTGGCTGACAGGCCTTGCCGATGGCCCTTGGCAACGGTTTTCCTCCCAACAGGAATTAGTGACATTGCAGGCCTAATGTTGCACTTTTATCATTTATGGGCCATTCGGTGAGAGCTATAGAGAAACTACTGTGGGCCAGATGTGACTCTAGGGCCTGGGATTCGGAAGTGAACCAGAGACACAGCTCTGCTGTCACGGAGCGTATATTTTAGCCAGGGGAGAATGACAACACATAAACAGAATGGTAAGGAAGGAAGGTGGTAAGTGGTGTGGTGGGGACAAGCATTAATTTATGAAAGCCTTGGGACCCATGAAGTAAGTAGAAGCTCCATCTTACAGATGCAGATGAGGCTTAGAGAGGAGAACTGGAACTTACCACGGAACTGGTAACCAGTCGGTTAAAACTGAAGCCCAAGTTAATCTCAGAGGAAGGCAACAACTGGTCTACCCCACATTCTACATACTGCCTCTAATAAACAAGCTCTTCGCACTGAAGGCACTTCTGCTAGCCTTCATCTCTTAAAACTCTGCACTTGGAGTCCTTTAGAAACCGCAGCCAGTTACCAGATCCCCATGCACGGGCTCACGCAATGCTATCACAGAAGGTTTCCGTGGGCCCGGGCCACTCTGCTGCTTAGCTTGAGCTCCCTGCCTGGGAGAACTAGCTTCTGCTTGTTGCTGTCTTCTACTCTTCTCCTCCCTTCACACCACCCTTGGCTCCAGGCACTTGGAACCACCTGTCGTTCCATTTCAGACTCCCACTGTCTGGCAAAATTCAGCTCCTTTGGTGAGAAGCTTTCTCTGCTTCCTGATCGAGTTTCTCTTCCTCTGTGCCCTCATATCCTGTTCGCCACATCCATCTTCTCCCCTGCCGGCAGTTGCCGGGTTCTTGTCCATCTCCCTCTCAGACTGGGAGCCGGTATGCCGTGGCTGGTGGGCATCTAGTCCATCCCGTCTTCCCTTCCCACAGCCATGACCAGCGCACATGAGGCCCTCCCGGCCGTTCACGCTCAGAGGACTCAGACGGGCAAAGCCAAGTTTTTGTTTTTCTTACCATCTCACTAGAACTTATGGATCACATTTAGCTATGCTAGCACAAATCAAACCATACCTCATAATATGGGGCAAAATGAAGAAGAAGAAAATATAAACAACATTTATAAATAGTGTTGCGAAGAGGAATTCCAGGCCTGTACTCGTTTAGCCAGTAAACTTGAATGCTGAGATGTTTTCCTCTTGTCAGAAATGCCTTTAAGTAGGATGGACCTAGGCCAATGGCTCACTGCCCCGAGGCTTGTTTTTCTTATGGGACTAACAAGGAGCTGGATGAAATGACCGCTGGAGTGTGCCCAGCTCTCAGTCCAAGGGCCTGACGCCAAGGAGAGCTGCAATCCATCATGTTGGCCTCTTCCCCAAGCATCCTTTCCCCTTGCTGTAGATGCACCTGTGGGCACAGGCCCAACTCTTAAGCCAACAGTTCCCCCCTCCACCAGGCCCTGGGTGGGCTCCTAGCCGCCATGTAGTCATGAGGTGACCTTGTCCCTCGTCCATGTTTGATTGACCCTGGAATTGGATCCCTGACCTGGACTCTCCCTTGGGAATTAAGACTTGAACTTGAAAGCTGCATCCTTAGGAAGAATTCCAAATCTACTACTCAGCTGTTCATTCAGCTAGTATTTACCAGGTACTGCCCCATGCTGGGCAGTTCTTGCTGCTTCTGCAGGACCCTCTCAGAATGGCCTCGTGTCCTGAGGGCGTTCCTGTTCTTGGTCTGGGTCTTCTTTGAGGCCTGCGGTATTGCTGTCTTTGAGTTCTCTGAGATACACCTTGGTCCTCATCATAAATTCTGCTTTCTTTCGAGTTATTGCAATTCGTTGGCATCTTACTTGCAGCTAACAGAGTTTTCGCTGTTCACTCGTCACCCCCAGCTCACAGGACTATCAAGCAGTGGCTCTTTCTTTCCTCGTGGGCCTGTTTGGTTGCCCCCCACCCCCACTCCTGGGCAATGGTGTTCTCAAACAACAAAAAAATCAACAGCCCAGTGGCAAGCTCCAGGTCCTCTCTGAGTCTCTTTCAATTATCTTGTTGTTTTTCCATTTAAGCATGGCCACATAAGATATGGAACAAGAAAACCTTCTTAAAAAGCAGACATAAAAGGAGGTGAAAGGGCCTCCTGCAGTTTCATTAGATAAAATCCACCCTCCTCAAGCCAGTTCCAGCAGAGAAAACATCTTGACAAATCATGTCCTTTAGTCAAAACAAGCTGAGGTCCAAACACATGGAGTAGATATATTTATATTATTTTCAGGAGGCTGAAATCCAAACCACAAATTCCAGAAATGCACTTTAAAAGTGCTGCCTATTAGACATGCTAGTTTTAAATTAAATTAACGTTCTAGCGAGAGGGGTAAGGTATGTTTTGATTTACTTATTAGATCACTATCGAGCTTTCCTCTCAGGAGCTCCAGGTGCTCCGTGCAGGAGGATTTTAGCGAGAAGACTCGGCTGTTTGAGGAATGTCGGTTCTGCAGTGTGGCTTCTCCCTTGTCCGCGAGGGCCACCCCCTTGAGGCTGTGCCTGCTGCCCTTTGAAGCTGACAGCTTTCTGCGGCTAACCACAATCTGTCCTCTGCTTTAGA